TTTTTTAAAACTTTTTATGTCAACAGGCTTACATCAAGATTTATCAGGGAGAAGACTTGCCACAGCCAAAGACTATGCTAATGGTACGTAGAGAGTCAAGTTTAAGTAGGTGACTAAGTTTTCCTGTCAAGTCTCGTTAATGGTTCTTATTGTTCTGACTCCCATATGTTTACCACGTGTGCGTTTGTCTCACCAGGCTACAGCAGAGGCCAACAACCTGGCAGCTGTGGCAACAGCCAAAGATCAGTATTACAAGAACATGGAGAAGGTGAGTTCATGTGAAGAAAAAACTGTTCGTATACATTAAGTACAGCTCTTTGCTCAGTTTAACGGTCTTTATTGCCAGTGTGTGATATGAAAACAACATGACAGTGTGTTGTTTCTGTCAGTTTAAGTGTTTGTTGCCTCATTACAATTTGAACCCAAAGCAGTTTTTTTTGTTCCTGTCACATTTGTACTCACTGTGTGCTCATTTTTCACTGCAAAGTGAAGCCCTGCACCCCTGTGGAAACAGCACAACCATAGCTAAAAGTAAAGAGAACTCAGAAATCTGTGCAGCATAACAAAGTGATATTGTCAGAAATCAATCTGAATTTCAGAATTATTTATTTTACAAGAAATGAAAATCAACATGTGTAGCATTTTTCAAAGTGCCTCCAGCTGTTACCAATACTAAAGAAAATGGTGACTCTGCATACCAAAGATATTTTACTAGTTACATTTTTAATTTGTTTCCATAATTGTCTCCTCTCTGGTCTGTGTAAATACAACTCCTAAGTTAAAAATGTGACAATACTTTCTACTTTTACAGGTTCTGACTCTGATTAATGGTGTAAATTTGGCATAAAAAAAAGAAAACATGCCTTTCAAACCTGCTGGCAGATTTTCAAGTTCAGAGTAATTCCACAGGGTTGAGATGCATAATTTATTGAGAGATAATGTCAGAAAAAGGGTATGTTCATGTAAATCTCAACTATTCTGTCTTTTTCTGTCCTTTTCTTAAGGTGTGTGGGGGAGACCTGCCCTATGTGGCTCCCGACTCCCTGGAGGAGAAACATCACTTTAATTTCCGAGAAGCTCTTCACGCCTTTTCGTCCACCAAGAAGATGGGCGGACAGGAGTTCTGTGACCGTTACCAAACACAGCTGGAAAAGGAGCTGGAGGAAATGTGGCAGTCTTTCAGCAAGCACAACGAGGTGGACGTTGTTTGTTGTATTCTGTTTATATATTTCTGTTTCTTTTTAATTTTCTTTAAAAGAATGAATAATCAAACATTAAAAAAGACTTTGCCTTGTGAGCGTGATTATTAGCAGATTTCATGATTTCCAAGTTGTTCCTAACCACCTGTTTTCTACTTTGTTGTTAAAGTCAAAAAATCTCTTCAGCGCCTTCCGGACACCCGCCGTGCTCTTTGTCCTGGTGTGCCTCCTCTACGTTTTGTCAGGCGTGTTGCTCTTTGTTGGCCTGTCTACATTTGCCCTGGTGTGTGACTGCACCCTGGGTGTGGTCATGATGGCCATGCTGACCTGGGCCTTCATCCGATACTCTGGTCGATACCGGAGTGTAGGAGGAGCCATCGACCAGGCTGCCGGTGTCGTCCTGGAGCAGGTGAGGATTAAAGGGCCAGAGGTCTGGTCATGTTGGTTCATGTCTGTCTGTGTTTCAGATCTTTCGCTTTACTGTTAGTTTCAATGCATGCACCTGTTAAGCCAGCAGAGGGCGCACTTGAAGTTGAAAAGAACAACAAAAATGGCAACCATCATTAATTTACAGTAAATTTGGACAGAAAAGGACTTCAGGTGACATAAATGTAGAAAAAACTGCTTATACAACACAATTGATTATTTACAATGAATCACCAACTTACTTCAAGTTTATAAGGTTGATAATTATATGAGCAGATTCAGATTTAAACTTGGAATATTGTTACACTTTTTAAAGAGCATTTTTCTTGTCTTTAATCACTAAGCCACCTGAGAAGATGTGAAAGAGAGACATTGGAGAAGTTTGGATGCTCTAGCTTAGAACAGTTGCCTTGTTTCATTGTCATTTCATAAACAGACAGCAGGGATTTTCCCGACTCAGAACGCACCTTTGAGGGGTGAATATGCACAACAAAAGTCCACACACAGTAGAGGAAATGTTTGTGTTACCTTAGTCAAAGAAATCTATGCATTTTTCTGTCATTTCTGACCATATGATGACCCACAATTTTTGTAATGCTTGAGTAAATGAAATACTAGTTAACAAAAGGGGTTCGGTGTTTGAATTGCTGGTGTTTGAATTTAGAGACGCCAAAAATTCATCTGTGCAGACCAAACCGTGGACAGTGTGAAAGTTCTTGGTGGGGAGCGAGTGGAAAGTTACACAACAAATAAGCGAAGGCTGTTCTAGATCAGGTCATTTCTCGCTGATTGACAGCATTTCCAACATTTGGTGTGATCAGAAAACGAGAAGTGGTCATGTGGCAGTTTGAGATCAGTTTATATGGTCTCACTAACTGAGATCTGTTGGTATTTCCTGTGGCCTTAAACAACCTGTTTAACTGGTTTAGTATGTGATACGCCTTAGAAATTATTTGTGCAAAGACCAACCCCCAGAAAACTGACAGACACAAAGCTGGGGCATTACTGCCTCATAAAAGTGTGACATAGTTTTATAGTTAGTATTTGTTTATTCAAGACAAGTTATTGCAAGAAAATTAACAGCCACACTCAGGCAGATGTCATAAAGTGTGATATTGTTTGCATTTTGTACAGTTCATAGTGTAATGCAGTGGAAAGTGTTCTTATTGCATTGCAGTTAGCTTGCTAGATGTGCGACAGTGTTCAACAACCTTGTGCTAACTTTTTGGTGCTGCACAGGTTGCAAACAGTGGGTTTATCAGGCTTGTTGCTGAAAACGGCTCAACTGTTGCTTCTTGAAACAGAGATGATAAGAGTGGTGAGACTGAAACATGCAGTAAACGTGTGAGCCATAAAACCTAAACAATGAGTTCATGAAGTAACCAGTGTTTGATGGAAAGTATCTTTAGATCACTCCAACCCCTTTAACAGAGTCAATACATTTTAGAAAATCTAAAAGTTAATCAGATAAAATAGACTAAATTAAAAATGTACGAGCCGAGGAGCCAACATGAAGAGAGCACAAACAGAAAAGAAAACTAACGACGGAAAGAGAGTCTCACTAACAGCTTTCAGAGGTTGTTAAGTGTTCTGTCTTGAGTTCATGTATCTTCTTTACACAAAACCAGAAGTAGTTTGAATTGATCGACTGCACTCTTACCGGCACAGTTAAAAATAAGTTGGAAGAGGCTGAGAGGTTGCAGTGAAGTAACCACAGCAGAAGAACTGAAGTCAGCAAATTTTGCAACAAGCACTTCTCCCAGCAAGCAGTCCAGTGAACCATCTTCCCTGTTTTCTCTGTTTTCAGGCCACTGTGGCGCTGAACAAGTCGAGAGGGACGGGCACCAGTGTCCAGAAGAAGTCCAGTTAGAGGACGTCTGCGTCATCTTGATGCAATGCAAACGGCACAAACACAACACAAGCACACATGCAGCACTAAAGCCTTACCATGCCTCCCATTGGAACAAACATGCAGCTCAACCACATTGGCACAGGGTAACAATATGATGCCAATTCACCAGCATCTCTATTATGCACATTTCTCCGCCTGTTAGAGTTCAGGCTTAAATAAAGGTGATCAGATTCTCAGAGGCAGGGACTCACACCATCCCAGTCGTCTTATTGATGCTTCGTGTCTTAAGTTGACACTGCCATCATTCAAGTTTACAATTGGTCTTAATAGACAAGTCAATGTTTACCTTTAAACTTAAAGAAAAAAAAACACTTTTATTTTTTGGCTGAATGCGTCTTACTTGGCTGTATATTGATCAGACAGGGGTAGTCAGGGTGCTTTTCAGACTAAGCTTCCGCATCTTTATTTACCGTTAAAATTGCTGGTTTTAAAGCTTATACACTTATTCATCTTTCTGTGTGGCTGTGTTTTTTTTTACCTATCAGCCTCAAAACATTCCAATCTGTTTGTAGATTTGCTTTCTATTGGATATAAACTAGCATTTCTAGGAAGGTGAAAGTCACTACTTTGAGGAGAGGAGAATAAACGCACTTTCCACCGAGCACAGCTGCATTTAATATAAGTTCAGTTGAACCTTATTAGCTTCAAGCTCTTCTCTTTTTATTGCTTGATGGGAATATGTTGCCCTTTGTATATTTTATACTACATCATAGAAAATATATTACTGGAACATATATTCCACAAGAGCTTAAAACTCCAAAGGAAAGACATTTTTAGAATAGTGTAAGGTGTTGAATGCCCACTGTAATTAAACTAGTACCTAGTCGACCAAAGAGTTAGCTTTAAATATTGTTTGAATTACACTTTGGGATTTACTCATCACTTTGAATTTCAGTGAATATAAGCTAAAACACATTCACGGGAGACGTCATTCCTTGAAACAAATTAAAAAAATTGCAGTGACTCCAATTAACACATAAAAAAAATGCTTTTTTCACACTAACATGGAACGAATAACAACCAAGAGCCCTAAATGGACCAAATACAGAGGGAACAAGCAGTAGAAACCTGCAGTAAATGGGACTGTGAGGCTGTCCTGTGCTTTTTGTACATGCGTTTCAGTTTTCAGAAAGACTACAGCCCTTGGACAGATTTTGATTAAATGTAGTTGTCAAAAATCCTCAGCATGCGGCCTTATTAGTCATGCTCACACCTCAGAAATGATTTACTGATGTAATGCTTTTAGCAGCCATTCATAGCTGGTGTTGTCTGAGAGATAACACTGATGGTGGTGATCACACGCTGATATTCTGGCTGCAAGTAAAGGACATATTTCTACTATTTCGCAGTAGCTCGTTCTTTATAAAGGCTTTATTTGATCCTAAGTAAACTGTATGAGAATAACCAATATTTGTACATGACAAACGGAGAAAGTCATTACCTTATATGGCTGTCAGTCCTGCTTGATTCCATGGTGTGCTTGGGTCATAGCTTTGCTTTGAATGACTTACATGTAATGGTTGTGTAACAAAGGGAAACCATATTACAGAACAGGAAGGATAGTAAATTTGAATTGACTTGATTCTTTTGCTCATGTTTGCATGCAGACATTTAACCTATCAGTAGTATCTCTTCTGTTATACTGAGAATTAAAAAGCTGGACTAAATGGTGGATTTATGAGGTTTTAGTTTTTCTTTGTTGGGTCAAGCAGGACTTCTCAGACCAACTCAAATGATTCAGGTAGTGGATTAAAGGACTATGATTATATGCAACTATGTCCTACATCTCTGAATGCAATGAATTGCAGACTTTTGCATTAACATTTGATTGGAAAAATAGAATGGAAAGCATTTTAAAAATAGCCAAAAGATTGTATGACCTGAGAGCAGAAATAGGATCCTGCAATCCTGTAATGACGCAGCATTGTGCACTTTAACAACTACTCATATATTTTATATGCTCAGACGCACAGTGGAGACACAAAAAGCTGCTTTATTCTTACACTGATTGCATGAGTCATAGGAATACGTTGTGATCCATAATGTTTGGCTTCATTTTGCACTTTTCCACTTCTGTCTTTTTACACAAGAGGAGGTAACTTCAAGATGTTTTACATGCAGTTACTGTTGCACTTCCCCTTCTCTTTGGTGCTCTTTGCACACAGCTCATTCCAAAAGTACATAAATGCATGCATGCAGTGTAGTAAATGTAATCATCTCTTGCAGGAGTAAAGTGGCCTTGACTTGAGAAATGCTGTTTTATAAAGAATAAACTGAGCTTGAAACTGTTGACGCAACTTTCCATTCTTTTCATTCAACTGTTTTTATTTTAGAAAGTAGAACTAAATCTATCAGCATCTGAAAGACTGTGTGGCAAAGCAGTGATCAAAACCTGTGAATAGCTTTGATTTTGATCATTTCCCAAATATGCCACCTACGTTAGGCTGTAATTTAATTTAGATATTTGCATCTAATGTAATTCTGCAGCATAAAAAAGTCTGTCACAGATTGTGTCTGAATTCTTGCTCAAACTGCATTGCCTAAGATTACTTATGATTATCAAGTTCTATGTGTTATTAAAATACAACTGGGCGGCTCCACCAAGAATCGTCCTGAAAACAGTTTCCTAAAAAAGTATATTTACTAACATTCTTTGGATTGCCATTGATAATGCCAAAAGAAACCATATTTTTTTGTTTTTTCAGGTACTTTACGGGGTTCCTTTAAAGAATCTCTTGCTAAAAAGGTTCTTTGTGGAACTAAACATGTTTCTTCTGTGGCATCCAGTGAAGAACTATTTTTGGTTGCATTTAGCACCTGTATATATATATCTGCTTGATGCAGAAAAAGCACACATTGGTCGATAAAGATACACCAGACTGCAGGAAATTAGGTATTTGAGTCACAGAAGTGTTGGGGGCATGCCCTTTTTAATATGTCCTGTTTCTGATAGACCAGGCTTTATAAAGTGACTCAAAAGGAATTATCTCATCACATAAAGAGGTCACTTCCCCAAACAAAATATACAACAGAAGAGAAAATGTGATCTATCCAGCAGCAATAATATTAAATGAGAAAAGCAGATGCAGGAGAATACAGGGAGTGTTGACACATTATATTTCATTATATTATCAATTGTCACCTGGTGATTGAATGTTCACCGTCAACTGTTGCAGAAAAGATGCAAACTGGTGCAAAAAGTTCAGCAGAATGCAGGAAGTTAACGGTTCGAAGCTGACAGTTTTCTAGGGGAGGAACCCAGACCCCCTCTTGAGTATTCAAATGAAACTTATACACTGCCTGAATCTTGAGTTTTCTCTATATAAATACAGACATATCCACTGTAAAGTGATGAAAAAGCACAAAACAGTGCATAAAAGTTCACCAGACTGCAGGAAATGAAGTGTTTGATTTAAAATTTCCAAGTGGATGTTCAAATTGTGGGGGTTTATAAAAGGGATTAAAATGCATAAATGTGTCATGTGAATAGGTGACACGTGCATATTTAAAGAGGTTACTTGCACAAACAGAAGACAAAATAAAGGATAGAAGAGTAAATTTCTGTTGTCTTAAAAGGGTTAATATTAAAAGAGAAAACAGATCTAGGTACAGGAGAATGAATGGAGTCTCAATGCATTATATTTCATTATGTTTTGTCACCTGGTGCCTGACTGTTGTGTTCCAGACGTCTCCACCATGAACTGTTGCAGTAAAGACGCAAACTGGCTCATGAAGTTCAGCAGAATACAGGAAGTCAAGTGCTGATGCTGAAAGTTTCCTGGTGGGAGGAACCCAGACCCCTGCTTCAATATTTAAGTGTATCCAACGATATATTTTGCCTGAATCTTGTCTTTTCTTTACAGAAATAAATACATATTTACCATAAAGTGGTGAAAACGCTCATACTGACGCACAAAAATTCACGAGAATGGAGGAAGTAAAGTGTTTGATGCTCTGAATTTCTCACTGGGCGGGGGCACATAATATTTAAATGAAACTAACGCCCATGGAAACAATAGCCGCTAATCACCACAACATCTTATACCGTGACTCGGTATGCTGTGGATTTGGGGGCGCTGTGTTACGAGCGTTGTTCTTCTTCATAATGGATGTAGGTCAGTTTGCAGGCTGCGTGTTTGCAGCCACGCCGACATTATAGGCTCATAATGTCAGCGTTGTCTCATCCTCTGCAGAAATGTGCACATTCAGCTCCGTGTGTCGGTCTCATCCTCATCCGGACACCGGCCTCTCCTCTCTCCTCCACGCGGTGCCGCCGTGCAGATTTCTGCTTCAGCGGCTTTCTGTCCCTTCTTTCCTTATATGGTGATCAGCGTCGCGGCCCGACCCTCCGCGCGCAGTGAGAGAGGCGCGTGCACAGGGCGCCGCCGCTCACCGTTCACTTCCATATTTGGAAGTGAGTTCAACAAAAACCGCACGAGGGGAGGGGAGAGAGAGGGGGAAGGAGGAGGGATGGAGGAGAATTTCCTCCCACCCTAAAAACCGTCATGCGCCCGGCTGGCAGCTGAATGTCGGTCACAACATCAGCGAGGCCTCCTCACTTATTAATCACTGCTCACGCCATTCAAGCGATAATTAACCTTTCAAATTACAGGCTGCTCACATTATCATAATGACACAAATAACAGCTATAGCTGGTGGCAAAATATATTAAAAACAATAGTATACAGCTGCAGAGCATCACGAGCTTGAAGTGCATGTTCTAACCAAACTGGTGTCAATCATAATAATCGTGATACATCAAGCAATAATGCTGTTAATCCTTTTATAATGCATTACATATTAGCAGGGACTTGTTGGTTTATTCAGATAACCGCCACGCAAACACATATTCCCATAATGCTCTCCGCTGCACATTTGATATGTTTGATTTATTCGCGCATTTACTCACGCATTGCCAGCTGCCGCTGCACAAGATAATAAAATTATTATTAGAAGCTGCCAATGGAATACAGAGAAAAGAACATAAGAATAAAAACGTAAATAATTGCAGCTGCTAAACGGATGCTAAATAGTGCCACGTCTAAAACCAAACCAGACCTTAATAATATATATTTTTAAACACCGAAAAGGGTAGTATTTTTTAATGTTTGTTTGAAATATATTGAGAGCTGACGTTAATCAATAATTACATTAGACTCTCAGCCCCCTCCGCACTGTCACAAGTCCCTAAACACATTAGTCTGTAGTAAACAACAAACAAACAGCAGGACTGTCGTGCCGAACAGGCATGCGCTCCCGCTCGTGAACCTTGCTCCAGTCGGAGCCGCGCTTATAAGCGCGTTCGCGCTGCGTGTCCAGTGTGCGAGCGAGAGCGACATTCATCATCACAGTCCATTCAATTCCTACCAGACGAGAACAGCTCTGAGCGACAGCTATGGTACGTTCAACGTCGTCTTTATCACTTTTCTGCATATTCACGCCGCTTTGACGGTCTCATATAGACTTGTTCCCACGTTATGGGGAGGTTTGTGGTCAATATGTATCTATTTCGTACATCTTTAAATTTGTTTTAGCATTAAACATAGCAAGCAGGTTGTGTGCCGCAGCAGCAGCCGCTGCTAGCGCCGGGGCCGGACAGAGCAGCTCTGCTGCCCGGGCAGCTGGACAGCTAATAAGGCTTTACCGAGCCACATTAAAGCCGCATTTTACCTCCATCGCCCTCACTAAACTTCCCGTGAAGCAGTTTTTATGGGACTGTGTTAAAAGACCAGATTAACCTGTAACGGTTCTCTACAACTGGCGCCATTTCAGTCATCTCCCTGTGTTTCGCCGACAAATAGCCTCTTTAGAGGGCCTCGTCTGAGTTAACGGCCACATCTTTGCCATGACGCTGCTCCGGTGTTTCCATTGCATCATGTTTCGGCTATTCCACGGCTACCTCACGATGCCTTCGCATTCTAACGGCGCAGCGCTGACAGGTGCAGCAGCGCCTCGGGGCCACCTAGCTCCCGTATTGTTAGCACCGTTAGCTGCGTTAGCGGAGGCAGAAAATGACATCCATTATGGCTGGCGCTAGCCGAGATTTCCTTGTTCTTTGTCTCTACACAGCTTCCTCACTAACAGTATTCTGGGCTCTGGTAGACGACGTGCTTCGGATCGGATCATTTTTGATCCCATAGTGACGCTAAATATACAACTGATATGAATAAGGCCGAGTTGCGCTGTTACAATAAATGTGTGAATTGACAGACGAACAGTCAGCTCGAGCAGAGTTTTGCCTTATATAGCAAGCTAGCGCACACATGTGCGTGTGCTGCATTCATGGCCCCACCCTGAATTTGGTGCAAGGACCATTTTGTTTGGTGCCGTATTATAATGGATCAGCAGTTAGATTGAACTCACTGCCGCTTGGCATGTGATGGTTTGGCCTTGTTTTTATAAAGTTGTACCAAATATTTTACAGATTTGTCACAATTATGTAACGGCAGTTTGGCAGTGTTGGATCGGCTAGCGGAAGCTAAAGGGCCGCTGTATCTGGATCTTCATGGTCGGTGCTGCGCATCTTTTTTTAGTTGCGCATCTAATTTGAAAAGCCCTTTACACACACTGCATGCCACACCGTTACACCTCCACACATTATCAATAAGGGAAAAAGAACCGATGTCTCCAGTCATTCATACATAGTTATTCATTATTAGATACGACAGAATATTGGATATTTTCTGCATCAAGGCAACACGAAAAATAAACTGTATAATAATGCGAACCTGTTATGCAATATATAGAGTATGTTTTTTTCTTTTCTTTCTTTTTTTTTTTTTAACATCCAGCTGTGTTGTCTTTTGCTTCTGATTGCTGAGTCTGCACAGACAACTACTAAATCTGCCTTCTGCACACCTAATTTCTGAAAACTGTGAATGTAAACCCATTAGGCCTGTGTTTGCTAGTGAAATTGACCTGGATGGTGATGGTGAGAGGCCTGTAATCTTAACTGTTCCTGTGTGTCAAGGAATTAAAGACTTGGAGTGCGACTACTTCCGTACTGAGTCAGCTGAACCTTGACTTCTGCAAAGAAACATATCCGTGGTTATGATTAGATAAGGTGTGGGCTTAGTGATCACCATGGTGATATTAGCTTGCTGCTACAACAAAACAATAAACAGAATATAAACAGTATTGTCGTAAATTAGACCAGAGCAAGGCAGCGGAGAGCAAGAAATGGAAACTGCTTTACAGTAAGTCATGATTGTGTACAGGAAAGTAACTCACAAACCACAATAATTCCTTCTCCTCATCGTGGAGGCAGAATGCCACGACGCAGATGTCTCATGTTCTTCCTCATTTGCAAAAACAGTTTAGAAATTTGTAAACTTAAGCGAATATTTTTAATAGGGCTGAAGGATGGAATAAATGGAACAAATATCGAAGTACAATACTTTGTTTATGGTGAGGGCGATTAAGGAAGTCAGTGCGGCTGTTTTGTGGTTAATTATTACTCAGAATTTGCTGTCATTTCACACAGGCCTTAACGCCCTGAGCAAACATACAGTGTCTGCCCTTGCTGCTGTGCAGTTGGGTTCCTTTTCCGTCTTTCCTGCCCCATTATTTCCTTTTCATTGTTGTCTTTTTTCCATTGACACATTGCTGGTAGATAGCAGTTTTCTTCTCCTGAGACTGTATTTTCCTGTGATGGAGTTCCTTAAACAGAGTCAGAAGACATGACTGAGTGAGTTTATGGAGCAGCTGAGACTTGGCGATGTGACTTGTATTCTATATTTCAACAGAAGCCCTATTGTTTGTGACGAAGCCCTACACTAAAATGCTTAATTCCTGTCCACACCCTCACCCACATGGTAATCTTTGCGGAGGAGATACTTGACTCCTCCCTTGACTTGCAAAAACGACTTAATGTATACCTACTTGACGCACCTGTTAACTGAAGTTATTTAAAAGTATTCATGCTCAAAGTGGACTTTGAACTGGCATTACTGGCTGCATATTTTTGGTGTGGTTTGTATAGCTTGACCTTTTGCATGCTGAACGGAATTAAAACTCAGTACAGAGTCAGTTGTCAGTGCTGATTTGATTTATGTCACAGATTAATTTCAGATTGCTTTACACAGTTTAACTCTTGTAGCACTACTATGACTAACAGTTTGCTGTGGCCACACCTTTTGCATTTCAGTCCTCCTTATCAGTTGTCCTCGTCGGGAATACTCCTACTGAGTGTGATAGTCACATGCTGCCCTCTCTTCAGCTTCATGTCTGTGTTTACGGTACTTGTGTCGTCACGTCTGGGTTGTCAAAGACCATGACTACTGTTGTATTGTTTAAGAGAAGAAATTTGTTTGGTTCATTTCAGAAAAATTGCAAAAGAAAAAAATCCCTATTAGAATTTTCAGAAGCCCCAGTAGACATTTTTAGTTTAATGTCATGACAACAAGATGATATTTAGATATGAAAAGCTGGAATTAGTAAATTATCATCATAATTAAGAAATTATTTGCACAATAAACTTCTGTCAGGGCAGTTGTTGAACTTGAACATTAGTCATTTACATTTGTAACATTTTATCTTTAGATCATGATGGACTTGTTCCTGTATAAAACAGTTGGGAAATCATTTTTGAAAAACATGGGAACATTTCAGCCGAAGAGCTGCCATGTCAAACTGTAAATACATTGGGCTCTGTATTAACACATTGTTGTCTCTTCAGGCCTCCGGTGTGAAAGTCACAGATGAAGTTATTGCAGTCTTCAATGACATGAAGGTGCGTAAGGCTCAGGCAAACGAGGATGAGAAGAAGAAGAGGAAGAAGGCCATTCTGTTCTGCCTGAGCAAGGACCTCAAGAACATTGTTCTGGATGATGGCAAAGAGATCCTGCTGGGTGACTTGGGAACCACCGTCACCGACCCCTACCAGCACTTTGTGAAGATGCTGCCCCCAGACGACTGCCGCTACGCCCTGTATGACGCCACCTATGAGACCAAAGAAACAAAGAAGGAGGACCTGGTCTTTATCTTCTGGTGAGGGCAGCCTTTATCGCGCATAAATAGTTTTATGACCTCCATTAAGATGGCATTAGACTTTAATATTTTTTCCTCTGTTTACAGGGCTCCAGATAGTGCTCCCCTAAAGAGCAAGATGATCTATGCCAGCTCAAAAGATGCTATCAAAAGGAAATTTGAAGGTGAGTAGCTGGGTGTGAGTGCGTATGTTGATGGATGAAAAGTTTAAGAATCGTGCATCACAAACATCTTTGTGGACGTACAATAACCTGGGTGGTGGTGCTAAACCATACAGGTTAGCACACCGGAACCACACCCAACTTTGAAGCTGCATCGATTCAGATGACTGAATGTGAAAGGAAATACTCAAGTGACAAACCCATGGAGAATTATCACCTGACTCTGCCGTTCCTCTTAGCTAAACAAAGCATTGTAGTATCTTTCAGCTCACTGTTTTCGGTTTCTGGCCTATCCTTGCTTTTAAGTTCACCTTTACTGCTCTCTTAACATCTTTTATAGAAGCAGCAGGCAGATATGTGCAGCTCTGAAGACCCACAGAACAGTAATTTTGCTTGAACGGCAGGCAAACACAGATCGTGACCAGCTATCCTATGGAGTTGTTGCAAACCAAAGAAGAGTTTAAAAAAAAAAAAAAAGAGTGCTTATTAGGCTTGTATTTTCTCAGACATAAAGGAGCTCATGTTACTTCATGTCTGATTACTGTGTAAACAGGCAGCCATCAACATCATAGGACTATAATGCAAATGCTGTTCAAGCTGTTTTAGTAGTTTGTCCTGCAACACCTAAGTAGGAAAATAATCAGAACTGCTTCAAAATCTTTTAATACACAAACTATTTGCTTAAACCAACCACATCTTTATTACCTTGGCCTATCCGTTTCTCCCCTCTTATAACTATCATGTGTTTCACAGAAGCCTAATCTTGTGTTTAGTGTCGATACACCACTCAGTATTCGATCATATCATTGATAAGTGGATCTGAACAGGCTATGAATATGACATTTTTGCAAAGGAAATTGCGGATATATTAAATAACAATATCAGCTCAAAAGTAGAGTACCAGTTACAAGTTCAGCTATGTCTGCAGTGGCCACATCACACTCAAATGTTTTGTTTTGACTTGACCCCTAGTATTTACCCTGGAATAGGTGGTCATTTGCTTGCACGTGTGCTTCTCATTTGTCTGAAAGTTAATGTGGATTTTTAACAGGAATTGAGACAAATTTATGGCAAAATCTTATTTCTGTCTGTAGATCAGAGGCTTCTGATTTGTAAAACCAAACATTAGAATTTAATCACACATTAAGTGAATCAAGCAACAGAGCTGGATGATGGGACTATGTATAACATCAGACAATACAAATTCATCCACAGAGCTCCTGTGTACCATGTATACCTGGTTATTTTTCTCTTAAACATTTCAACCATTTCTTGGCTATTGTGTTGTAAATCATTGAACAGGACTGGATTATGTCTTCATTTTTGCAGTGATGTGATTTAAATGCCTTCCATGGCCAGGTACCGTTTGCTAAATAGGTGAATAATTGATCAGTTCTTGCTGACAAATCTAAATGACATAATCCATGATAGAGGATTTTGTCAATGTTGCCTGCTCCTGGTAAACATGTTAGTCCGTAGACATTCAGCAGAGAATGTGAGCTTAGTTAAAAAGGAGGCTGCTAGTCTTTTCCCTGAAACTTACCTGACTGAGGTCTATTAGTGAGATTTGTCTCTTCAGAAAACCTTTTGATGCATAACTCCGTGTCTTTGATTTAATTTCAGGTATCAAGCACGAGTGGCAGGTGAACGGTTTGGAAGACCTGAAAGACCGGCACACCCTGGCAGAAAAGCTGGGCGGCTCGTCAGTAGTCAGCCTGGAAGGATCTCCTATATAAATATTGTTCCCCTCCTGCTCTCTGGCTTCGACTGAGGCCTTTCAGACACATCTGTTGGGTTTAGCTGTTCATTCCAGTGTGGTGTGGAGAAGGGCAAAAGCAGTACCAGCATCATTTGTGGGACTGTCGGGGAGGGATACAGTGGGTGGGTTTTGGGGTCAAGTGACAGCGTAACAAAAAAAAACAAAAAAAAAAACCCCGAAAAAATGCAGACTGTCATTCCAGTTCATGCAACATAAAGAATATGAACAAAACACACACAAAGGTAAAAAAAAAAAAAACATGAAGATACAACTGAGGAAGGATGACGATGATGATAAAACTTAAATACACATATTGTTCATGTGAAGGACAGGGTTTTGTTCTTTACGGGTTCCATTTGAACGACTGCAGAGAAAGGGACAGGCAACAACCTTTTAGTTTTCCAACCATTAAATCCCAACAAATAATTGTTCCAACTACATTTTTTTGCCAAACTTCTAGTTAAGTTTTGTAAGTGTGTGTAGTTGAGACTAGGTGTAGTATGAACTAATTCACTCTTGATTGCACAAGATGTATCAAAACCTTCTCTGGGGGAACACGGTTAAATATATATATTTTTTTCTTCTTGTTTTGTTATTCCATTGTTTTTCTTTTTTTTTTCTTTTTGAACATGCAAATTCCAAAACTTGAGTGATTCCTTTTTATTTCCAGTTCTGGGTCAGAAAAACATGGCATTTGATGTAGTAAAAAGACAACATTCCTTGTACTTGTTAAAAACCAGGATTTCCTCGATTTAAAAACTTTGGTGTTATGAAAGTCTGATGGGGAGCGATGTGTATATGAAGGACCAGCGGTCAGAGTTTAGACTGAATATTGAATGGTGGATGTTTTGTATCGTCTCCTTATCTCTAATAAAAAGCACTAAACTACTGACTTGTTCTGCTTATTTCTCACTTTGTTTCACTCGGTGATGTTTCAGCTTTTAATAATGCGTCACACTTCAGAACTACCTTTAATAGCAACATTGTGGGTGATGGAAAGTCTGAAATTATGGATGATGTGCAGATTTTGCTGCACAAATGAGTGATACAGAATCTGCTCATCTAATTCAAAAAGAGTTGCAAGTGAGGATCATTTTCATTTTGTCTTTTTAATGTCAGAATACAGTAAAATAATTTTTACCTTTTTTTTGTTAAATCAATCATGGGTATAGATTTTGTTTGAGCATTTCAGTCAGTGATACATTAAGTAAGGGCCTGGGTGTCCTCACCCTGGAAATTATGAGCATCAAATGTATAATTTCCTGCATTTTGGTGAATGTTTCTGTACCAGTATGTGTGTTTTCTACTCATTTATGGCTATTCCGGGGTATTTATCCAAGGGAAAATACATTTCAGGCACAATGAGTTGAAGTTAGAGTTCTTTAAAAATGAAAGTCTTTTGCTTCTTTTGTATTTTTATTAGCAGGGATGCATCCCTTCAACCCCCCCCCCCGAAATCTGCGCCCATATTATCAAAAATAATCAAGCTCCAAGTTCAAGGCATGTCTGTGGAGCTGCAGTAGCTGTTGTCACCACAGGAGGGCGGCCCAGCACCACTCCTGAAACCCAGTCAAAATTATTGACACAAACGCTTGTTATAAATCTCTGTTTATTAAAATATATCAAGCATTTTTCAAAAAATAAAATTAACACTCTGTGTCTCCATTCCCCACTGAGAAGACTATACTATCTGCTGAAGGCTGAAAGCAGCAGTAAACTACAGTCTGAATGCAGGCTGGAGCAGAAGCAGCTGAATGATCCTTGAAGAGCTATCAAAATACCAAAACATGTTCCCAGAGCGAGAGCAAGAAAGATGAAAATACATCCTCAGTAGATTACGGTCATCCACAGTTGGAAAATAATCTGCTGCTACTGACACATGAGAAAAAGTGTTTCTTTCCCTCTTGTAAAAAGTGGCTTCTGTTAACACTGTGGAAACACTGACTGCGTTATTAATCTGACTGCGGGCTAAAACTTATTAAAAGATGCCGTAGTGATGATCTCACAGGCAGATTAGTTTAATAGGCCCAGAGGTTACAGGACGTAAATTAAATACAGAAGAGAATTAGACCTGCTTTACTGGTAGCTCACTGAAGGTGATAGTCCTGCATGGATTCAAGCCTCTTTCACTCTTCTTTCTTTAGGAGAAATAACACATTTCACCCTGTTTTTACTCAGTCACTTTGTGCTTTCTTGTGTTTTTCACACTGTGCTTTGGCCTTTCTCAGTCCTGGACACAGTCTAGTCGGTTTCCGTGCACCCAGTAACAGATCTGAGCAAACTTCAGAGGAGTGATGCGAACGGCCACATTGTAATCCCGGTTCTCTCCGTCTATCTCCAGCCACTGGTGTCCAGAGAATATGCCAATGACCTTCCTCTCCCAGCGCTCTAAGCTGTTGTCCCACACTCGCCCATACACGCCCGAGCCACTAGCTCCGGGTCGGGCATCACAGTGCTGGTATATCAGGTCGCTGGACTCTTCTTCCACCGGACAGAATCTATACACCAGCTCCCCGGGCCTGTCGCTGTCAAAACCAGAGAAGTGGATGCGATTCCCCGCCAGATCATCGGAGGAGGGAGCCACCGAGAGCCGCATGAAGGGGCGTTGGTGAGGCCAACGCAGCTCCAGCAGGGCGTAATCAAAGTCCATGCTGATCTCCTGAGGGCCCTGGATCCAGCCCTTTGGCACACGGGTGCGTTTCACTCGCACCCAGCGAACCACAGGCTTCTTGGCAGAAGTAAGGCCGTTTTTGGTGCCGTTGATGGATGGAGGGATCAGGAAGCCCACCCTGAGCTTCCGCGCCCCGTTGACATAATCCTTCCCATCATGTACACAGTGAGCAGCTGTGAGGACGTGCTGCTGAGACACGAGGACGCCGGTGCAGCCCGTGGAGATCCGCACGGCTGTGGAGAACGGGTAGTCCAACAGGAAGTTGTCTCCGTGGATGTTAAATCGTCCGTCTGCTCCGTAGATCTGCCGCCTCACACGCTTGTGCCTGGGCTTCACTCCCACGACTCTCCTGGACGGTGGGTGGCGTAGGTCAAGTGCGTCTCCTTCAAAGTCATCATCCCCCTCCAAGTCCACCGTAGTGAGGGTGCGGGAGCCGTCGGAGTACAGAGTCTCAAATGCCAGTTTCTCAGACAGCTGCTCCTCCTGCTCTCTGTGGAAACAGCTGGAGTTGCAGTGGGTGGTGAAGTCCAGCTGAGTCTGAGCGCTGAAGCGAGACCGGGTGAGAGGCGTCGGAGTGTGAGGGACCAGCGTGGGGAGGTGGACGGGCGGATGGTGAGGAGGGTGGAGGACGGACAGGGTGAGGGGGAGGAGGAGCTGGAGGAGCAGGTGAGTTCGGAGGAAGCTCTCACGTGGCGTCATCGTGGTGCCGGAAAACACTGCAAGGACACAGAAAATAAGCACACATGAGGAAAACAGCTTAACAAGGTCTCTGTGAGCAGCCATGTGGAGCCCTACGTGTTTGCCAAGAAAACAACTGTGGAAAACGTTTCCAAACAAACTGCCTCACAAACACACAAACTGTAATCCCTCATAAATCTGGACCCTTTCACGGCTGATTGTAAATCACAGTGCCTATGCAAGAGAGGTCAGCTTACAAAACTCTAATGTTGCAACGCAGGCCTGAATTTCATCTGGCGTGGCGAACTAACAATGAGCCTCTTGTTCCTACAATATAGATTACCACGAAAATAGGATCAGCCCAATGAAGCAAGCAAGTATTTTAATGTCTGTTCGGTACAGAAAGTCACAAATTCCATAGAAAGGTTCAATTAATGAGGAAGCAAAGTGCCACAGCCAGAACAAAGCCGAGTGGTCAACGCTCCAAAGGGAGGAGAAATGTGACAGGAGGTTATAGCAACAACTCTCCAATCCAATATTTGTTAAAGATCAGAGGTAAGGAGGTGTTTTCCATCAAACATGAACTACTTCAGTACGAACAAGAGGGTTTCAGAGCAGATTAGCAGAGACGAGGAGATACTTGATCCCCTCTAAAGGCTGCGGATCCCGAGGCACTCATGGCACGAACAGAGCAGGTGTGCAAAAAGTGAAAAGAAACAAGTCGAGGCAGGGCGGCAAAACAGAGCATTATTCCTAACAAAAGACAGGGTGGGGCCTGTCCGCACACCTTTCAGCTGCCCCGTGTAACGCTGCAAAGTACGCAGAGTTGCAACAAAGAGCGCCTGTAAGCAGGGAAAGTACAAATTCACTTTCACAATGTTGACGTGTCAGATATATGACAGCCGTGGCAGACAGCTACACCAACTACAGATCATCTTAAGTGGAAAATTGGCGGGTGGTCAAGTAGTGAAGTGAACTGTGTACTTTATGAAGCTGACACATTGCACACCTTCTTAAGTATGGTGAGAGTCCCGCAAATGTCACACAAGCTCTGAAAAGACAGGTGTAATCCAAATGAAACAACTGTATTTTTAGAGCCTGTTTCAGTGTTGAAGCAGCTCTTCCCAGGGAAAACCACAGGCAACGACAAACGTAGCAACATGACATAGGAGGGAAGATGATGGGAAGCTGTTGATTTTGGGGCTGCTCCAGTAACTTGAGATTATGGTGTATCTTTAAGGAGAAAAAAGCAGTGAAAACACATATTTGCACAGTTGTCATGCTGCATTCAAATGGGAAGATACAAAAAGCCTTTGCTATGCACAAGTGTCACAAGCAAATATCCAAATAGACCACAGAAGACTGTAGTCTGCTGCAGAGTCAAATAAAGTTCATCTGTAACATCTGTAATACAACAAGCAAGAACACATTTCCTTTCAGTTGTAATCAGGAATGTGATTGATGAGACACTTAAGGCCAAAAACTGTATGCAGCACACTAAAAATCTCAACGAGAAATTCCCATTTTAAATATTCTATCATCACCTCATCCCAGCATTTGTCCTGAATAATCATTTACCATCATTACATTTAATGATGCAAAGACCTGTGAATGCAACGCACACTGATCATTTCAAGCATCCCATTAGAGACAGAGCAAGGTAACATATTACCTCCTGATTAGAGATCAATGATCCGTGTTTACATCCCAGTCAATCTTTCCCCATCAGACGAGTCCGTTAGGATCATTTCCCCACATTCTCCTCATCATCTCCGGTCACAGGTAGCTCGTTACTCCCTCCTCTTTTTATCTCCTGCCTGCCCTCCGGAAGGAAAACTTCTCTTTTACAGCGTGTGCAAACGCAGCTCCAGGTGTGGAGTGACTGTCCTCTAAAACCTGCACAGTTCAGACACACAGACTCAAATAAGGACTCCTGACTGGAAAGAAGCGTTTTCTCTCCGTGCAGCGGCCCACCGGCCTCACGGTCCTAGTGCCCCTCCGCCGCTACCACCTGCAGGCAGACAGATATTATCTTACAGTTTATAATCACACTTTTAAATGTGTGGTTTTTTTTGGGTTTTTTTGCATTTAAAACATGAAACAATAACTGACCAAACTCGTATTTGAATCTTTACACCAAGTGAAGCCATAAAGTTTATGGATAAATAAGTTAAGTTAAACCATCACATATCAGTGCTTTGTGCTAAATGCTAACATCAACATGTTCAATGTTCACAGTATCAACGCTAACACATTTAACATGTACAATGTTAACCATTTCAGTTTGGTCTGTTACCATGCTAACTTTTGCTAACTATCACAAAAGTGCAACTGAGTCTTTGTCATTTGATCAAATATGCCAACAAGTTAGCTTATTATGCTCACAGTGAAAATGCTACTCTGTTTAGCAAGTGTAGTGTTATAAAAGTGCATATTAGCAAAATACTATTTGAATGGCTGAGGCTCATGAGAACGTAATCTGTTTAATCATTTGGTCAAAAATGTGTTAACTTGGCAACATGCATGTTTATAACAACAATGTTAATATGTTTAGCAGGTGTAACATATACGTCTTTATTTAGTCTGTAAACTTTAGCTCGTTAGCTGACACTAAATCGTTTGTTAAAAAATGTCAACAAGCTAACTTTCAATGCGCCTTTCCATCCAATGATTTAATGTTTTAGCATGTTAACTTTTGCTGCTTAGCACTAAACTGCAGCTGTGACTAAATCATTTGTTCAATGACATCTACAAGCTAACTTGTTATGCTCACAATGAAAATGCTAACATGTTTAGCACATGTAGTGTATGCCATATTCACCATCTTAGTTTAGCATGTTAGCATGCTAACATGCTTAGGTTGATTTGAATGGGATTCCTTTGATTATTTAGTCAAAAAAAATGTCAACATGCTAACTTCCTAGCATGGATGTTTATAACAACAACTCTATTATGTTTAGCAGCTGTACATGTATTGTCTCAATCTATCTTTTTCTTATGCTAATTTGAACAAATTAGCACTAAGGTGCAGCTGAAGCTTATCAAATTGGTCAAAATGTCACCGAGTTAGCTTACTATGTTCACAGTTAAAGTAAAGTATGGCACTGGTGAATGTGGAATTATACTGTCATACTGTTGAAACTAAGTTTCGGCCCACTACAATATTCTTAATTTAGCCCTCTTAAGACCTGAAGATTTAACATTTAATGCAGTGAATCACCAGGACTGATGATCCTTCCTCCTTTTCTGACTCACCAACAGATTATAAGTGTTTCTTTACCTACCTCATAATGACTATTTGGCATTTGTTTTGATGGCCCACAGCTACACCCAAGCAAGAAAAATCTTGTACTGGCACTGCAGTCATGCCAAGAGCTATAAAAGACGAACGTGAAGACCAACTCTAGTACGTTCAGAGATCATAGCTGGCAGGTAGAAGACTGTTGGGGCATGTTGGCTGCAGCGTTCACCTCGTCTTTTGACCTTGATTTCTAAAAGGGCTTTCAGATCTGTCATCCTGTGGAATTTTGGAAGCTGTGCACCAACGCTCTCATGGAGCATGCTGAAGCTTCAGGAGTGCCGAAAACAGAGCTCCCAGTCACAACGACAGTGCTTTCAGGAATGCTGAGGAATCTCCCAACAAGGACACAAGTCAGGCTGTCGGCACAATGCGGCCGCTGTTGTCCTCAGAGAAAATGTCACCACAGAGGAATCACCTACCCAACCTGCTCCTCATCCCTGTAATAAAATCTGCAGTGAATAGTGTAGTGTTGACAGATTAAGTGTAAGGTATATTCCCTCTGAGATACTGAGGAAAATCATTGTGGATGGTAAGGAATGCAGCACTCAAAAGGCTAGAGAGGTGTAAATGTGAACTCTGTAAGCATGATGGTATCACTGCTTGTCTCGGTGTTACATACAGCGAGCACAAGAGATTTCCTTTGTGTCTGTGCATTTGGCGTCGAGCAACTTGGCTTCTGTATCTCAGTGGATTCCTCTCCTTCCATCCTTTTTTTTTCAATGTTCCTCACAAAAGGTTAAATGAAACAGAACCTACACATGATAAGAAAACATGTTCTGAAATACAAATATGTGCTTTTTTGCCAGGAGTGAGTTGAGAAGACCGACATCATGCTCATGTCTGCTCAGTAAATATGAAGCTCTAAGCAGTAACCAGTTAGTTTAGCTTGGCACAAAGTTGGGAGCCTGGCTCTATCCACAGGTAACCAAAGAGTAACGAGCACTACTGAAGTGCAATTAGTACACTGAAGTACAATTCATAGTTTTGCAGCAGGTTATGTTCCAGTAAAGAAATGATCTCTGTAAAACTGCAAATCGTTCCTTGTACACTTTCTGAGCAAATGAAAGAAACCCAATATTTGCAGGGAAAATTAGAGTTACTTGGCAGGTTACCTGTTTCCTGGCCTTTATGCTAAGCATTGCTAGTCTTTAAAGGCCAGTCTTGTGGCTCTGCGGTCATCTTAGTCACTTAGTTGGGCCATTGTTTCGAGCAAAACAGACCAGGCTCATAACTAAATGAATGGGAGGAGCCCCGATTCATTGTCATTGTATGGAATCACCTGGAGAGAGGTTCTGAGCAACTGTCAAACTTCAGATTCAGGAGAAGCAATGCAAATTCCAACCTGGCTGTGGAAAAGTGTACCAGCATAAGATGATGTCTGATTTAGGGACCTCAGTCCTGTGGTCTGATAAAACTAAAACTGAACTGTTTGGCCATAATGACCATCATTTGATTTGGAGTAAAAAGAGGGAAGCTTGCAAGCCTGAGAACACCATCCCAACTGTGAAGTACAGGGGTGACAGCATCATGTTGTGGGGTGTTCTGCTGCAGGAGGGACTGGTGCACTTCACAAAATAGATGGCATCATGGGGAAAGAACATTATGTGGAACTATTGAAGCAACATCTCAAGACATCAGTCAGGAAGTTACAGCCTGGGCGTAAATGGGTCTTCAAATGGACAATGACCCTAAACATACCACCAAATTAGTTACAAAGTGGCTTCAGGACAACAAAGTCAATGTTGTTGTTGGAGTTCCCATCACAAAGCCCTGATCTCCATCCAGTAGAAAATTTGTGGGCAGAGCTGAAAAGGTGTGTGGAGCAAGACAACCAGCAAACCTGACTCAGTTACACCAGTTCTGTCAGGAGGAATGGGCCAGAACTCCAGCAAACTGTTGTAAGAAGCTTGAGGAAGGAAACCTAAAACGTTTGACCCAAGTCATACAGTTTAAAGGCAATGCTACTAAAGACTAAGGAAATGTATGCAAACTTCTGACTTTGAAGAAAGTGATTTAAAAAAATCTCACTAATTCTTAGCAGGGACATGAAAAATTGTATCTCCCAAAATATTAAAGCATTGTTTTTGTTTAAAAAAAAAAGTTATAACCTTCCAGCTGAATTTATGTGAAATTATTGATGCAGGAAAATAAAATGAAATGTTTTTTTTTTTTTTGCATAATCCAAAGTAATTGATCCCTTCTATGGCATGTTAGCAGCTAAATATAATACCGTATAATAATGAAACACATGATAATACTTCCTGCCAAGAAAGCAATAAACCGATTTCCCAAAAAGCCTTTAAAGCTGGTATTCATGCTGCACTTTGTCCAGACTTCTTATATATGATCGAAACTTTCCAGTACATTTTTCTTGCTTTGTTACTGTCTATAAATTTATGTATATAAAAGCTTTTTAGGGTCCACCGTCCCACCTGTCTCGTGTTCGTATCGCGGTCGATTAACAGCTCCTTGTCAAACACATGTTTCAAGGTTCATTCGTGGTTCGGTTTTCAAAAGAGGCACCTGCAGTACATTTGACAGTTCAAGGAAGAAGTGCCCTAAAACTGCTAAAGACCAGCTGTTGGTAATATTTCTTTGGTTTCCGAAACCATTTGTTTTGCCTGTCGGCATTAATTCAATTATTCAGACTTTACCTGCTTATTTTAGTCAAGTGTAACAAAGGTTTGGAGCTTGGAACCAGAATACTGTGGGTGAAGAGAAAGTGTAAATCAACAGGTTTCTTGTCTAGCGCAGTAGTAATACCAACATTTACTTTACACGTATTGGACTGTAAATCTGCCTGACTTATGTCTTTAGCATCTGGGAGGGAAGAACCCAGTGAGAACACGTCAGCGCCACATGAAAGAAAATTCCTGCACTGATAATTGACCCCATGACAGCGACACACTACTTCCTCTGTTTGATGGCGTATTTTCTCCCAGAGCCCTGCAGACCGTGAGCTCCACGTACCAAACTGTTGTCACTGATGTGTGGACACCAGGTGGGACCATCATTTCATCGGCCACTCCTTTTCTACTTAACGTCCTTGTGTTGGAGGACAGAGCAGATGTGAGAGCACTTTGCACAAGCCTGACATAGAAAATACTACTTTAAAAAGTTTTTTCACTAAGATTTATATACTTTACTCAAATTAAACAAGCTTGAAATGAGGAATTAGTCTTTGGCTGAAGTAATAACCTGTGATAGGAGGTCTCAATTAGCTTCCTGGGCTGTTTTTGCTAGTGTCACACTTTTACTCACTGTGGACTCATATTTTGCTGCAATATAAAGTCCTGCAACTTTATCAAAAACAGCAAAACCATGACTAGACGTAAAAAGAACTCTAAGCAGTATGATGCAATTATAATGCCATAAATCATAAAGAAAGAAAAAGTTCAAATGAAAAGTTTCTTCATCATTTTTTCACAAAAATTGAAAAACCTGGAATCAACATTTCCAACATTTTCCAAGTGTCCAGGTGTTACCAATACAAAATATGGCGGCTCCACATCTATAAATCTTTTACTGCCTACATTTTTAATTTGTGACCACACTTGTCTCCTATCTGCTCTGTATAAACACAGCTTGCAGTTCAGCCCAGTTCAGCCAAAAAGTCT